CACTTTAGCAATTCGATATTTTCTCTCAACTCAATTAATTTTATACTCATCTTCTTCATTTTGATATTATTCTGAAACATATGCAACTTTCTTACAGCTGCTGGTATTCTTCTTGCCACTGTTTAGTGAAATAGGTACTCGAAAATTATGTTGTTGCTATTCATATGATGAAATAAAAAGTTCTTTAAGGCCTTATGCCCAGCTTTGACAATACCAATTGTGATGCTTTTTTTTTTGCTAGCAAAATCTTAAGTATAATTTTAGGGGTTCTATAATCAACTTACAATGCTATATTGATTGCTCTTTTCTGTCGTTGATTCACTTATCAACTTATAGAGAGATCAAGCATTCTAGATATCACCTTCTAAATGTGTTTGCTGAATATTTAAAGCGTAAATGCAAGACTAAAGTAAATACATGCTTTTATTTCACCTGAACTTTTAAGAGACACCTTGAATGTCATGCAGAATCACAAAAATGTCTCCGAAACTTTCAAATTACTTGCAGAACTTTTAATTCTAGCTAGTCAGTCGTTATAAATAGCTGAAACTGTTGCTTATTTTCTATTCATATCATCTGTTAGATAGCCTCACTTTATCCTGATGCCTTAGAGGAAAGAAGTAGATAAAATGCTTTCGTTTGTACTTGCTGGTAAAACTAAAGCTAATAGACTATCAACTTTTATCTACTATATGTATGCATCATTATTCAAAGTTATCTTAATCTATTATTCAAAAGATACTTAAAATTTGTTTATATTAGGTTAAAATGTGCACTTCACTCCTAAGTTTAGAGAGCCTTTTTTAATAAACGCTGCAAGCAATTCATCGTCATTTACTCCTACTAATTCTTGTTCTAAAATTTATTTTTCCTTATCAAAGCCTTCTTAATAAAAAGCTTGTGTAGAATTGTTTACGACCTTGTAAGAAATGTATGTTAAAAACAATGATTAAAGGATCAATTTTTGACTCATCCATAATAATTATACTTTGAATATTTATCATAATGCACATCTCATTTCTCTATTATGCTTAATTTATAAATATCAGCTTAATCATTGGGTACTTGATCCTACGATTAATAAATGAATAAAAGTATCATTAATACAACCAGAAAACAATTAAATGTAGTGATGTTTTTAAATCTTGTAACGCTCAGTATAAATAATGTTGCTTGCTTTACAGCTGTAATATTTTTTGTGAAATCCTAATGAAGATAGTATATAATACAATAACTCTACATTAAGGAGTACTGGAAAATGTAGCATCTGAGTTATTATTTGTGATGACTGCTTAATTTTAATAATGCTCATTGTAGTAAAGGTTATGAGATATCAGACGAGCGGTGTTTTAATTTGATATAGAATATACCAATAATCCCTAAATTATTAACGTCACGGAAAAAATGGCAATGCTTATCATTCTTATTCTTGTGTCATCTGATTGGGGTTACTTTAATCTCATTCATAAATACTCTTACTATATAAACCTTCATCTCAAATTGAATGTAGATGCATGCTTCTGCTTTAGGATAGATTTTTCATTAGATACAACCTGCCAATAATGTATTCTAATTTAACTAAATTTGCTTCGAATAATTTGCATTCGTTAAATACAGCATTCATCAAAAAATGATCCTGTGACTAGTCTTCTTCTGCAATGTTTCGCTGCTGCTTAAAAAACGGATGTATTTCCATCTTTACTTAATATGGAAAAAATCCAACCGTTCAGGTTTAATATGGAAATGCAGTATCGCTACATACAAACACTTTTTTACCACATGGAGACTATGAAACAGAAAAGAAAATTCTGCTACAAATCTTATTTATAGATATTGTTTGTGTTTTTGTGTTAGTGCACTTTTTTGTATTGAGTGATTCTAATTGCATCTATGAATCAGCCTTTCTCTTTCTAAATTCCTTTGCGAAATTATGAAAGAATAGAGTTATTATGATACTTATAATATTATTATTATATTACTATACACACAAATTCAGCAAGGGTTGTAAATTGTTATTTTGTGTCTTGTGTTAATGGCAAATAAAATATTTTTGGTTGCGATTAAATCTACGAACTTTCAGTGTCCCTTGAAATCATATTGATAATTAAGATTTTAACCTTTCTCTTACTCTCACCTTATATCATGTCCTTATAATGATGATTGTTGCTCAGCTCTGGATGCCTGAGTTGTCAATAGTTATTAGCTGGAGATTACTTAAAAAAAACAACTTAAGCTTTTCAATTTTGCTTATTAAAATTTAATTTCCTCTTTTGTGTTCTGGTTTTCTCTAAACATGTTATTACATAATTGCGTATTTCTGTTTAATTACTTATTCTATTTATCTTATCCTTCACTAAATTATGAATATCTTTACATCAGTCTTATTAGTATTAGTGGTGTATACATTCTAGTCATTTATAAATTTAAAATGCTTCAAGTATGCATTCATGCTTTCCAGATTGTTTAGAATTTCTAATCCATTCATTTTCAATGTACATTATTTTTTGAATATGATTGTCAAAGAAGGTCTTATTTTAATGTGATATCTTGTTTATGCATTACATATCTATTTCCTAATGCTACCTGAGGTTTGAAGTCAATCATTTGAAAAGATTTTAAATGTAATCTAGTCTTTGCAGCTTAAACAACTTGTATTGTATCAATTAGACCTAAAGCAAATGGTGCCAATAATGTTCAATCTGACATTAGCAGTACAGAATTTACAATTAATGACTTAAGACCAAATTAATTAAAACATGAAGTATTGCTGGCAGAATTTAAAGGGGTAACAAAAAGATTCAGAAACATTTAGAATTAATAGCAGTTGAAGCTAAAAGATTTGTATTATTTATCAAATGAGCCACTGACTCTAATTGCTATAAGTAACTCAAAAGAAGGCAAACTTACAAACCCCACCTTTGTGGAATTTATTAAAAAGCCAACCACTTAAAGTGAAAAGAAGTTTGGTCCATGGAACCGGAATTAGCAAAGGGAAGAGTTAACTGACGTAGTTTTATGAGTTCTTAGCGGACATAGTCTTATGAGTTCTTAGCGGCTTGGATAATGTACTCAACTCCTGGCTCTTAACTGAAGTTGCTCTAGGTCAGTTTTTGGTTTTATTTTATTGAATCAGCTTTTGTTAATTTGAGGTCCATGACTAGAGGGTTATCTTCATGTTTTAATTTAAGTTCTAATTTGTTTTTAGTCTAATTTAAAATATTAACATTAAATTGTGTCAAGTCGTGTATAATCTCTCACTTAGTAATTATAAAATAATAATAGATATCTAAATTATAGTCAGCTATTGACATTTTACTAAAAAGACAGAAAATTGAATTAATTCTTGCTTTTGAAATGTTCTAAATTCATTCTCTTAGAAGTTTAATTCAATCATATTTAACTATGTCTTTCTAAAAATTGTTTGATGAAGTCTTTTACTACATCTGAGGCTCTACGCTCTTGTGGACTTCGCTTTTAGCCTTATGGATAGTTTTTTGTGCATATTTCTCTACCAGGCTTGTTCCCGTGTATTTAATATAGAGACCATTTTCACCTTTAAGCTTTCCAAAACCATTGCATATGGGAAGTTCACATTATGATGCGTTTCCTAATCTCTTCAGCAGTCGTATTTATAAAAAAGTTTTTATTTAAATTCCCTTTTGATTATGATAAAATCAAATTGTGTAAGAATGTTATTAAGGCCGGTATGATTTGAAAAACATGCTCAAAATAGCTAAACGGAATTTTTTTAATTGTTTTATATTATAAACTGAACCTGCTCTTCAATTCTAATTACTAACTTTGAAATAAATTTGTCAATATTTTTGAATTGTACAAGAAAAACCCTCAGTAAAGATAAAATAAAAATATATCGCGCTATGAAAAGTCTAGAGAGCTGATTTAGTTTTAAGAGTAGGTTTTGATATGAATTTAACCATCCAAAGAGTCAGCAGAGTTGATTTTGAAAGTCATAACTTTATAATCTCTAAAAAAAAATTTATTTGAATTTAGCTATTTATACTGCTCACCAACCTCCATACTTTGAACAGCAATTCAATCAATATTTTGCTGAATTTCTTC